CAGAGCTCACTAAAAGCAAAAATCTGCGCCGCTGCTGCTGTAGTTGCTGCTGCTGCTCCTTATTTAGTTCCTTTTTGCTGCTCCGACTGCTGCTGCTCGCGGTGGTCCTTCTGGTCAAGTATTGCTGCAGGGCTGCATGCAGCAACGAAACCTTGAAGCCGCGCGAAGGCGGGTGTCTTCTGCTGCAATTATTATTAGTTCTGCTGCAGCAACAACAAGAACAGCGGCAGCAACAGCAGCAGCAGCAACAGCAGCAGCAATTGCTGCAGCAGCAGCAGGGAGGCCTCGCTGCAGAACACGCAGGGCACTAGGGGCTGCCAAGAACAACAGCTTCGATGGTGGCTGCAGCTGCTGCTTGGCAGTTGGTGGTACGAGGTGGCATTTCCCCCGCAACTCGTGCTGCTGCTGCTGCTGCTGCTGGTTGTGGTCCCACGCTTACACTTTGCTGCCTGCAGCCGACGCAGCAGCCCTCGTGCCGCCACTACAGCAGCAGCCTTGGCAGCAGGGAGGGCCCGCTGGGGCAGGCGGCAGCAACACACCGAGCAGCAGCAGAAGACCCAGCAGCAGCAAACCCAGCAGCAGCAGCAGCAGCAGCAGCGCGTCTGCCTTCGGCGCAGCTGGTGGGCCTTGACTTCCTGCCATCTGCAATCCCCCAGCTGCCAGCGCAGCTGCTTGCTGCTGCAGCAAGACGTTTGCTGTTGCAGGGCATTGAAGACTCGGAAGCCTGGCAGCTGCTGGGGGCGAGAGCAGCAGAGACGGCGCAGCAGCTCTCGCTGCAGCACTGTGCTGCAGTCCTCAAGTGTACGTGCACGCTGCTGCTGCTGCTGCTGCAGCTGGCCTGGCTGCAGGGCCTCGAGGCAAAGTAAATGAGACACGGAAGCAAACCAATTGCTGTTACTGCTGCTGCTGCTGCTTCTTAGGTTTTGCTGCTAGGCGCTACCGGGACTTCTGCTGCTTCAATGCAGTAACGAGCCGACTAACGGATATTGTGCGTCATCATTTGCTGCTGCTGCTGCTGCTATTGCTCCTGCTGCTGCTGCTCTGTGCCTGGGTTTTTCCTTTGGCGCTGCCGCTGCTTCTCGGTGTCTTTTTGAGCTATGCTGCTGCTGCTCCTGCATACGCTCCTTTGTGCTCATTCTGTGGAGTGCTGCTGCTGCGCTTTCTCCCTGCCTATCCTGACCTGCATTCCTGCTGCTGCTGCTGCTGCTGCTGCTGCAGGTTGCCGCTGAGGGCGTGGCGGCGCTGGGCACGGAGGAGGCGGTCTCGATCTTGTGCGCATTTGCTGCGCTGCAGTTTGTGGACAGGTGAGGGCCAAAAGATAGCAACAGCAGCAGCAGCAGCAGCAGCACGGGGCG